GGGAAAGAGAGAAACATTGATATGAGAGGGTAACATGGATCGTGTGCCTCCTGCAGCCCCCTGCTGTGGATAAAGCCCTCGACCCTAATTTGAATCAGCCACCTTCTGGTGCACGAAACAACGTCCAACCAGCTGAGTCACACTGGCCAAGGTGACCTGCACTCTCGCTTCTATGTCAGAATATAGCTTGAGTTCTCCAAACTTGCTTGTAAGTTAAAGCCTTCTTGCTCAATGAATGTCAGCATCTCCGCTTCTTCTATCTTTCATTTTTTTTAATTTATGAAAACAGCTCAAATGTGAAGTTCCCTTTTCTGTACTGAACTGCACTAATAGCTCAGCATAAATAAGCCTTCTTGGTGAAGGAGGGTCCCACAGTAGTGCAACCATTCTGGCTCTCAGTTTTTTTGACAATTCCTATACCTCCACCTTCCACTCAACCCCCAATATCTGCTCATGGACACCTTCTCTTGTGATCCCAAGTATAAGCCATTCTCATAACCTAAAGTCCCACCAATTTAACTCTCCCTTATCTTATCTGGGGTAAATCTGTTGATAAAGAGAAAACCTAAATGATGAACGACCCCCAGCCAGGAAAATGCTCCTACCGCCATCACGCGGGAGCCCTCTTTGTCTGCGTAGCACGGCCACCAGCCTCGCATGGACTTCTGCTCGAAGAGGGAGGCGGTTTTCACTTTAAGGGGGTCCATGGCTTTGAGGTCCGGAATCATGTCCAAATGGCATTTCTCGGATGATTTTGCTGGAATGATGGTGCGATGCAAATCAAGTTCCAGGAAACCTAGCCAGGGAAACAGTAAACTCCAATAAGCTTCGCATGGGTCAGCCATCCTTTACCCGGGAACAGAATGCCCTGCAGAGGAGGCAGACAGTGGTCTTGAACAGGTAATGAGTGCGTTAGAGAAAGGCACCCTGATTGACGTTGAAAGTTCTTTCCAGTTAGGATGGAAAGTGGCAGGAGATATACCTGCCCACCACTCGCATCTCACAGAGGACCACATGTTTTATTTCTCAAAGACAGGAGCATAAACAGAGTTTGTCTACAAGCTCAAAATAGTGAAAATGTCTGTAGATAAAACTCCCATGAACCTGGATCTGAAAGTTGCTCATATTCGTTCTGAACTGCCCTGAACACGGTCACGTGGCTTTGGGGAAAGACACCTGGTACTTGGAACGTGGGCCGCTCTATGGAACAGTCCGTTCAAGTCTCCCAGGGTAAACCTCAGAGACAGGAGCTTGAGGAGGAACATAACAGCTCAACAGAAAATGCTCACCAGGAGCTAGGAAGCCCACCAGGCTGCCTAGAGAAGCACATTTTCTCTTCTGTGATGTGAGGCATTAACACGTTAGTAGCGCTTTTAACAGACTGTCTTTGGGGTTTGGGACCTCCTGTGGGAAATGGGTTTGTGTTATGGACTACTGGGACAAGAGGTGGCCTTCAACAGTGGCAGCAAAGAGCAAGAGGGAGAGTGGGGCAGAGTCTCTCTAAACCGCAAGCTAAGAAACAGCCCTTCGTCTTAGAATGGAGCCACAGGCCACAATTCACTCAGCCTTTCTTGAGCTCATCCCTGCTTATTTCTCGGCTCTTCTTTGGGTGGTAACTATAGTCATTTGCCCATTAGCCATTTTAAAATATACTCATTCTCTTTACTTGTCCGATTATTTTGTTGAAATTCCAATAGAGAACTCTCCACTATTCTGGAATTTCCAGTCCATATGCTTTATTAAGTTAACATTTTTTGCATATAAACATATGCAAACATATAAGTTTGTTCAACTCTTATAAAGCACCATGTCAAAGCATTGGCCGCAGTGGGCTTTCCCTCTGCAGGAGAGGTTCTGGGAGCAGGGGCATGAGTTAGGAGCTGCTATAACAGTCGGTTATGAGAAAATGAGGTCTGAACCGGCAAGTGGCAGAGATCCTGGAAATAAGAATAGATGTGCCTGATGAGGCAGATTACTTCGTTAGCACCGCATGGGGGCAAAGGGCGGAGGACCCACAGAGGACTCCGCGTGCTTTTGCTTTGGGGCTGGGACAATGGAGGGGCCGTGAACAGCAAAAGAAGCTCATGAGGAGAGCAGGTATGAGGCCAGGGAAGAAAGGCTGCGTTAGGTTTTAGTCAGGATCAACGGGAGGTGCTGGCTAAATATCAAGGTGAAAGTTTCTGGTGGGGAATTGGGGCTAATCATCATAATAGTTTAATATATACATATATATGTGTGTATATATATATATATATATATATATATATCTCACATAACATGCGTAAGTTTAAGGAGTATGGTGTGTTGATACATCTACATAGTGCAATGCGATTTGTCAGAACATTTTCTTATTACCATGTGTCAGGCACTGTAGTGGTCAGGCTACACATCCTGGCTTAGGGGTCAGACCCTGCGAAAAGATGACAGTGGGAAAACCACTGATGGGCCCTAGGGAAGAGCCAAAGACCCCAGGGAAGTCAAAGGCCTGTATTTATTTTTAATTTAATTTTAAAATATGTTTTTATTGATTTTAAAGAGAGAGAGGAAGGCAGAGGGAGGAAGGGAGGGAGAAAGAAACAGATGTGAGAAACATCCTGACAGGGAATCGAACCAGCGACCTTTCTGTGCAAGAGACGATGCTCAACCAACTGAGTCACACCAGCCATGGCCAAAGGCATGCATTGAAAGAGTGGGAGGAAGAAATAGAGCCAGCCAAGGGGACAGACCTGGGGCTGATGCCTGCCAAGAAACAGACAAGCCCACAGGACTGTGTGGGTGGTACTTACCAGGTACTTTTAGCCCCAGAGGAGGCTGAACCTGGGGAAAGAACAATGGCTGGGCATTACAGACCTCAGTAAAGTTTGAGAGCAGCCTGGAGGAGGTGCTGAGGAGAGAGAGAAAGTGGATGGTTTGGAAGTAAAGCAGGCAGGGGTGTGGCATCCTTTTGTGAAAACAGGATTTGAGTCTTAACAGCAAGACAGAAACTGGTACAAGAGCCTCCACAGGGCCTTTGAGCCACAGAAAGGGGTGGCATTCACTGTGCCCCCTGCTCAGAGGATCTGAGACAGCAGATTAGGCGGCCACAGTGCCCAGAGGACATTCAGGGCACAAGTGAGCCCCACCTCCACTTCCCTGCAGAACTGGAGATTTAAATACTTGATTCCAAGCTTTAATTCATTTCACAAATTCCAGGCACAAATTCGTAGAGAAAAATATCCAAATGGAAGCCCTACCCAAGTAGTCATCCAGAGAAAACTTGTCATTATCCCAGATCTGGATGATCAGTCTGGGTGGCATCCGAAATTCGGTTTGGTCGATACTCCAGAAATGCTCCTAAAATGACAAGAGAAACAGACAAACCAAATTACACTGATGAGTGGATTCTGACACCCTCCCCTTGGAAAGTCCAGTACCAAGGCATTGGGGCCTTCTCTCTCCTTTGCACCCCCAACCCGGAACCCTCTCTCCTCAGCCCTAGCCTTCCACCCACACGTAAGGAGGGCAGGTGGGCCGAAACCGGTTTGGCTCAGTGGATAGAGCGTCGGCCTGCGGACTGAAAGGTCCCAGGTTCAATTCCGGTCAAGGGCATGTACCTTGGTTGCGGGCACATCCCCAGTGGGGAGTGTGCAGGAGGCAGCTGGTCGATGTTTCTCTCTCATCGATGTTTCTAACTCTCTAATCTCTCTCCTTTCCTCTCTGTAAAAACTCAATAAAATATATTAAAAAAAAAAGTGAGAATTTAAAAAAAAAAAATAAGGAGGACAGGTGGGCTCCCCAGGACATCTCAGGCCACCAGCCGGGTGGCAAAAAGGATGTCCCTGGCAGCTCCCAAATAGAAGGCTCCCTGCCATGTCCCCATCAGTGTGACTTCCTGGAGTTTGGGGATTGTTCCCCTCCTACCACTTCCCCCCTCACCCCCCGAAGACCACTGTGGCTTGCTTAGATTATCCTCCAAAGCCAGGAGGTTCTAGGCCAGCCCACAGTATCCCCTACTGGGGTGTTTCTTCTGCTCAGCCACCTCCGCACACCCACAGATCTTCCGCCCACCCCACACGGATGTCTGAGCACACTCATTTCACTGGGGCACAGATTTTGCTCTTTTATCACCGCAGATTTAAAATGTCCTGGCATTTTTGGCTTTTGAAAAATATTGCTGTGTCTTACATGCTGTGGTCAACTAAGACCCCCAGATTCCACATATTAGTCAGGTGGAGAGAGGACTGGGTAGGGTCCTCCAAGTTCTCACCGCTGGTCCCTGTGTCTGCCTGGCAATATTGGCCCCAAATAGTCACACCTCCACAGCCTAATTACAACTGCGGTCCTCTGGCCCCAGGAGAAAGGGAAGTCCCCCAGCACTTTGGGAATTTGAAGCTTCTTGTTTTTCAAGTGACATCCCAAAAATGTGCCCCTTTGCAGGGCTCTGCAGGCCTGGCTCTGAGGGGCTTGAAAGTCCACTCTGCTGTTGTCCGGCCCCACCTGACTGTCCTCTGTGGACTCACGCTCCCAATACCACCAGGGCACGGGAGGTCCAGCTCCAGATGCGGGTAAATAGGAGAGGTAACTTAACTAAAGGCCTGCCTGACCCACACTCCTCACCTCCCCAACCCACACCCCTCACCTGCCCCATGCCAGTCTGCATGATTCAACATCAGGTTGAGCTCAGTGTCTCTAGAAAGTGCCCTTTGAAAGCATTCATCTCACCTGGCACAGAAAAGTGCTCCTACAGCATCAGCACTGAGTAGGGCCACATGGGACAGAGGCAGGTATATTTCAATCAGGTGTGGGGAGAAAAGGTGACCAGAAGACCTAAGGAACGTCTATAGAATGTGGGGGTAGAAGTGGGATGGAGGACCTATGTGAGACATCTGTTATCATTGCCTGCCCAGGTTTCACACAGATTTTTCTTGGAGAGTCCCTTCCTCCCATCCATGCGATTTGGGAAGAACCGACTCCACGCTTTACTCCAGAGCCAGGCCAGTCAGACCGCTGCATCCCAGGCAGCACTGGTTGGTGCAGGAGCTGCACATGACCCCAAACAGGCAGAGTGAGGTCCAATTCCAGAAGCCTGGTTGGCACCATCGGGGGTTTATCCTCTTTCTGCTGAGTTGCTGAGAGGGCAGGATGTGAGCTGGGCCTCCACCAGGGAGGGAGGCCCACAGAAGAAGGCTGAGCAGAGCAGTGGAGAAGTGAGAGAAATTTCTAAAGACTCCAGTTCAACATGGGACCCGGGCATTCCTTAAGCCAGCCAGCCCTGGACTTCTCCGTAATGTGAACCAACAAATCACTTTTTGGATATAAGCTGGTTTGAGTTGAGCTCTGTAACTGCGAGTCTTACAAAGCAAGACCCCCAGGGCCCTGAACCATCATGAAACTGCCTCTGAAGAAGGGACATTTCCCATAATTGAATATTTTGCCTCTGTTTGGTTAATTAGTCAAACAGTTCTGCTTATCACGGGAAGATGTTGGTTTCCCTGAGACATACACTTGGATTGTTGTATGTATGGATACAAGACCTCCATGTCTACCTTTCACCAGATCCTTCCCCTGGCCACCAACATGTTAAGGGAAGGAAAGTTACATTCCGTATATGTCTAACTACACAAATAGCTGTCGTAGCTGTGTGACGCTGGGCAAGTATCTACCCTGCTGTGAGTCTCAGAGTCGCCATCTGTCCCAAGAGGGAGCTCAGCTCACGACCGCCAGGGTGCGGAGCGGCTCCAACATTCTCTGAGTGTCTGTGTCAAGGAAGACCCGTGACATCCACTTCCCACTGGCATATTTCAGAGCTCACTTTTTTAGCCACGATACACAGTTGTTCAGCTGGGAGGTAGTCAAATGGGAAAACAAATCTCCAGTTAAAATTCCCTTCGCCATCCAAGGACCTGTAATGGACATCTGTTTTCTGTTTGTTTTCTTCATTGCCAGGAATCCAGCTGAAAAGCAGAGGCAAACAGGCTTAGCTTCGTGTGATTGACAGGTAATCTAGCCGCAAAATTGTGCAGTGATTAGGGGAGTGAAGGGCAGGAGAATTAATGCACTTTTCTTGGGCAGCTTCCAGTTATCTACGGAGCTGGGGGCTGATTTATGAAGGGGAGGCGCTCTGTTGCATCCAACACAGGTTGTAGCCAAATAAAATACAATTCCTCTAAAACCAAAGCAGGAAACCCTTTAGACTCCCGTTAACAGGGATAAGGTGAAATTTTCTGGAAAATATCAACAACTTAGCTTCTATTTTGGGAATGTTGGAGCTTGCTGGCTATGATTTTAGTCTTCATACTGGTAACTATAAATCATCGCTGTCTGTCATCACTGCTGATAGGGCTCAATGAATATGAGTTAGTTCTAAATTTCAGCATTTCCTTTTCCATATTTTACGTAAGCAAACAAAACAGACACGACTTTCAGCTTCCTTTTTTTATTATTCTTAGATCCACTCTGATCATATTAATGAGACTAGCAAGGAAGATGTGTTATTTCCATACGCATACCTATGAAAATTCATTTCCATCAACAATTTAACATCTCAACTTCTGACATTTGTAAAGTTCCCTTGACTTCTGCCTGGCGCATATCAGACACTAATTAAATACCTGTTGAAGGACTAAGTGAATGAACACGCCGGGGAAGAAGTTGCTGTCACATCTGCCTGCTACTGGGAAAACTCCTGGTTCGGAAGTAGGGGCAACTCTAGATTTTAGGCTGGTAACGTGGTTGAATGCATGGTTCTCAACACTGAACGCACATTAGAACTGCATCGGAATCAACTGGGGAGCTTTAACATCATTGATGCCTGGACCTCACGGACAGAGAGTCTCGGTAGAAGGCAGGCCTGGCTGTGAACTTGCGCTGCCACCTGCTCTGAGCTTCACCTCCCATTGGTAAAATGAGGTTGATGACGTGCGCTCCCCTCACATGGTCCACATGAGGACAGGTCACTACTTGGAAGGGCCAGAACGGGAAGGGGGAAATCCTTAACCCCTTCCCCGGCAGAAACGTGTATACTCGTTTTCACAAAATGTTCTTTTTCAGTCGTCGACGAGTATACTAAGAAAATATGGTAAAAAAATATGGTTTATAGGAAGACGAGTTACAAACTGTTTTCATAACCAGCATCAAAAATACTATATAGAACCAAAATAAAAAAATTAGTCTGAAAAAGAAACGTTTTTAACAAAAAAATTATTGGGGAAGGGGTTAACTCATGTTTACAGTCATCTGCGGTGAACCAGGTAATTAGCATGTCTTATTTTACTCTTCCCAATTGTACATCTATGTCCATTTCTCAGAGGAGGAAACTGAGGTTCAGAGAGGCTGTCTAACTTACACAAGCTCACACAGCCAGTAACGGCCAGAATTAAGTATAATGCCCAGTCTGTCTGAATCTAAAGTCCAGACTTATTACTGTGCCTCAAAGGACCATGGAGACTAGAAAGTGCTAATATTAGGTCCTATTAATAGTAGTGGTATTAACATCAACCAACTACAATAGTTTTACTTTTTGCTGGTCAATTAACTGACTGGGTAACTTAGCTGAAAAATTCCTGTTGACAAGTTAAAAAATTCCTTTTGACTATTGACTTGTAAGCTTTTAAACTAATTCCCTGAAGAGTCCACACTCTCTGGCTAGGACCTCAGTGGCTTCACATCTTGATAAACGACCCCCAAAGTGTCACCATCATCTTCCCCCAGACCGCTCACCCCCCCTTTTTAGTGAATCTTTTCACACTTAATTTTACATATGAATCTTTTCACATTTTATTTTTAAAACAAGTTAACTGCCCTAAGTTTATGTATTTATGTGTGTGTGTGTATATATATATA